TATTGAAATAATTTGTGGACGGTTGTTTTCATGTTTGCGCTCTGAATATTCTACTACAAGGATCTTTATGTATCAATAGGAGATATAAATGGAAGATATGTTTTAACTCTTCACACTTATAAATGGTAAATACCATAAAATACACAATTTTTAGCAGGGAAACGTCGAAGAAAACAATAAATATAATCAACTTGACCAGACTTATTTTATGTTTCTCTTCTTTAGATCGATATAAGTAGTTATCCTCAATCTCAAGCCTCTCTGTGTTTCTCTTCTTTAAAAAAACATGATAAATGGATTCATTGATCAGCTTGGGGAAGAATAATTTACAATTCAATATGAGAAACAATTTGACTATCTGTTCGTAGCCTTGACCTTGTCAATCAGGAATGTTTCTATCTTGTGTTTTGTAACAAACTTAGAACGTTTTCTCTCTAACAACACGAATGTATTTTTTGGAAAGGTACCTGTCGGCATCTAGGTGTTTCTAATTAGGCACATTCCGGTTATAGACATCTTTTGAGAGAAGATACTGGCTGTGTTCCAGATACCAAGTATTTGCATAGATTTCTAGTAAACAATTTATTAGCCATCGACACAAATCTAGAGCGCACCTTCAAAGTAACTTCAAAGCGTAATCGCTTGAGTCAATGGTTCTTACATGTACAGGTGCTACAGCATACTTAATGTTGTTACAAAAACTATAACTGTGAATGTCATATAAATAAGAATGGTTGTTTATTTTTGGAATCTATTATTGTTATCTAGTTAAGATTAAGGGTCGCCTCATACTGAGATTCTTATTGATTCGTTCTAAAATGTCAATTGTTTTGTATTCAGTAATACCATTCGTGATGTATTGCCTCAAAATATGTCGATTCGTGTTATTTTTTGTTCTAACTGATGTGATATAATATAAAAACGACCTTGTATTCAACAGCTTTTGTTTTTGATTTTTTATCCCTAAATGAGTTTACTTGCTTCATTCAATGTTCGGATACACTCTTTAACGTACTTACATTATTTATGTACTTCATGTAAGTGTTATGATCGAGATAAATAGAAGGAGGGTTTATATCTTAATAGAAACTAGTTTAACCCTTTGTCTATCACAAGTCCGGAACCTCGCCAGGTGATATCTTTTGCCATACGTGAAAATACGTAAATGCGTTTTTTGATAATCGGAGAATTTGGTGGTAAGGCCTGTCTTTTGAAGACTTTGTTGAATTTATCCGCAACTTAGACACGAGACGATTGAGAGCTTCGACATTATATCATAAGACACCTACATGTTTATTGTTAAAAACTGTTGCTGACCTCTACTTGTCTTTCAGTACATTGTGTTGTTGTGTTTCTGTCTCATCGATGTATACCCTACACCTTATTTTATTCATACCCATAACCAGAACCATCAAAACCTTAAAATACAAATTTGTAACTAATATAAACCCGTCTTTTAGTCGATGATGTAATCAAGGTAAGGAATGTGAATTTTGAGTATATATGTGAATAAAGAAATATTGAATACCGGACGGATGATAGCCGTTTATTATTTAGGAGAATCAACAAATTAAAAAACTCTAATGCGAACGGTTTAAAAAGAGTCTAAAATACAAATTATTGCGAGTATAAAAACAAATAAAAATGGCTTACGAAAAACAGTCAGACTGAGAACAAAACAAATATTTGCCAATTCCAGGACCTAAAAACCTCATTCTTTCTGAATTGTATAACTTCTAAATAGTTGCAGAATACTTATTCCAATGAAACAGAATAATATCTGTAACATTTGATAGTTATATAAGTAACTGATAATGTCTTAGTAAACCCGATATAAACCCTTCTCTTTGGGGTATCAGAATTATTTTTGATAGTTATAAGTAACTGATAATGTCTTAGAAAATCCGATATAAACCCTGGGGTATCAATACGATATTCATCAAACATAATTTCGTTGAACCGTTGCCATTTATTTCAAAGGTTTGATCAATTTTGAGATATGTATCAATTTGAGGTAACCATATCTTATTCATTAATTTAAACATAAAACTATTGTATATACATTGCGCAAATTTGTAGTTTTGTTTTTCAGCAGTTACCAAATTTTGTCCCTAGTAAGTAAACTGAACCAACTATGTCAAAGGGGGGATAAAAAAAAAATCAAAGGTCGATACACTGAAGAGGTAAATCAAAAGTCAAACGACAAGTACTCGACAAACAGTATAATCTTGGTATTAACAGTGAACGCTTATGATAATAGAAATATCGCCAAAACATGGAGAGTTTTATACTGACACTTTCGGCAAAACCGTTAACGTATTAAATAAGGTCAAGAGTTTACATTAAGAAAATCCCTTCTTTTCGTTAAATTTCGAAACAATATGTTTTCAAGTTTTGATAAAGAACGTTTGCCTATAAAAGAATTTACAAATACGCTTTTTTTATCATTTATACTGTAATGAGATCACTGCTCAAACAACAAACCAATATTTTTTTGTCATTATATTAGTCTCTGTCGTTCAAGCTACATCGTTCTGGTCTAGAATGTATCGTGTATACGTCCATAAAGTGCAATGTCTGACTATAAATTAGTTGCTTTTCTTTACTGCTGACAAATAGAAAAATCAATATGAAATTACTGAAATACTGTCTTCTGTGTTATTGCTAAATAACGTTCTGGTTTGAAATGTGTGCTACTATGAAATCTTTAACGTGTTTTGTGATAAAATTTAAAAAAAAAAACACGTGAAATTCAATCTTTGTGTAACTGATCGGTTCATTTCATTTTTTTTCTAGAACTATCTATATTTTTTTAAAGCTGATCTCTGGTGAATAGATGAATATAAAAAAAAACTTATCCTTTTCTATGGGTAACGTTAATGTGATTAAAGTATATTACGTCTTTATATTACTTGTGATTATATTAGTTAGCTGTTACCGTACATTACAGCACGGGAATGGTACAGTAGAAGAAGTAAAAGAAAATTGTTCACAACAGTATAACAAACAAGCTTGAGTAACCTCTCACACTGTGAAAAGAGGGTACAATAAACACAACTTGATACATACAAATGTATGACAAAGGGGAATTTAAAAAAAAAGCAATAAGTAAACAAATAAATAAGGAACTTAACAGATGAAAACAAATGAATACGGAACTTAACAGATAAAAACAAATGGATAATAAGATACATAGATAAAATTAAAACAGAAAAAATGAGGACACGCGATTAGATTAATTAATACCATGCATACAAATTCATGTCCTAGAAAATAACTGGTTTTCTTTTTCTCTCAGAAAAACGGACAGGATAACATACTCTTTAATAACTTTAGAATCTCTACAAATAAATAGAAAATGAATATCATCTCCGACATGAGTTTTTTACAGTCAATAATATAAAAATAAGAAGATTCGGTATGATTGCCAATGAGACAACTCTCCACAAAATGGAGATTTCAACGACATGTCACCATACGGCCTTCAACAAAGATCAAATGCATACCTCATAGTCAGCTATAAAAGGCCCCGAAATGACACGTGTAAGACAATCCAAATGAGGAAACTAAAGGCCTTATGCACAAAAAAATAAACAAAAACAAATATGATATTAGACAGCAACAAACGACAACCACTGAATTACAGGCTTCTGACTTGGGACAGAATGTGGCGGTGTTAAACATGCGTGCTGGCTTCTGACTTGGGACAGAATGTGGCGGTGTTAAACATGCGTGCTGGCTTCTGACTTGGGACAGAATGTGACGGTGTTAAACATGCGTGTTGGCCGCCAAACCGTTCCCATAACTTGGCAAGTGGTGTTACAGTGCAACATAAAAAACAAACTATAAAAATCAGTTGAAAAGGGCTTAACTATCAGATCGATACATAGCACAAAAACCCTAACAAAGACAAAAAATCAAGCTCTTTCTTCAACTGGAATTCCTGTCCAGTTTATATTGCAGCATCTCATAGTTACGTTATTAGAAATTCTTTGTCACTTTGATTTAACGTAATCAAATAAGATTCTAGGCAAAACTCATGTTTGAATATAGAGTAAGATTTATAAAATTCGCTATGACGCCCACGTTCCAAAATACATTTAGCTTTTGTTATATTTGATTGAATTTAGCAAAAATTCAGAACTGATAAAGCCCTGTAATTGTATGGTCACGAACTAGTTGTCGACCTTGATAACAAAATGTCCATTAATGACACTTTACATTCGATTATAAGGTATTATACATCATTAGATTCTGATTATGTAATGCCATTGATTTATCACATTAGACAGGTGGGAATACGGTGGATTAACTAAGTATTTTAATAACACTGATTCTCTGAGACAAAAGTTTATACATTGTATACACATAGATTATCTGTGCCTTTTCTAGCTATTGCAATTTCCATTCTATTAGTACAAAAAAGAAAATAGGGAGATATTTGACTAAAACAAGTGCGCAAAAGGTCTTTAAAGGCTTCATTTGTAAAACGTTAGCTGATGTTTCAACTTGAAAAACATGCGATAAACTCATCAAAGATTCCAGGCTAAAATTTTACCAGACGCGCGTTTCGTCTACAAAAGATTCACCAGTGACGCTCGAATCAAAAAAGTTAAAAAGGCCAAATAAAGTACGAAGTTGAAGAGCACTGAGGACCCAAAATTCCGACAGGTCAATGATGGTGTACACACATCCGGTAACATTTTACCTGATATGGCTTTAAATCATTTGAAAGTGAGTCCTACCTAATAAAATATTGTAAAGGTGTCGATTCATTTACCATAAGATACAGATTATTATAAGGGAGACAAAATTCAGGGGCGGTCCAAATCAATAAAACAGAGTACTAATATCAAGTAGAACTCGATTGGAATTTGAAAAAATATTGCTACATGTTTATCAAGGCATGCATTTTTCATGTAATGTTTTGTTTATTTTCTATAGCCTTGACACTATTGTTTATTTTCTATAGCCATGACACTATTGTTTATTTTCTATAGCCATGACACTATTTTAAAGAATAAAGTGACATTCTGTGATACTCCTAAAGACAACACTCCTCCTCAAGCCAGTGAGCAAAGTGTTGAACAAACGATAACATATTCCGAGATCCTGATATTAGACAGCCCTCCGGCTGGACATAAAAATATAAAACGAAATCCCAGGTAAGGTAACCTTGTGGAGAACCTGCATGGAGTGGTTAGGACAAACTTAGTTACTGTTGTATCTTGTGACGAATTGATTCGTTTTCTACCAAATTCTGCATGAATTTACAATCCTTTTAAGATGTCTGGATATTCCTTGTTGTACCCGCCTGATTTCCGGATATTCTTTGTTGTACCCATTTGTTAACATGGTTCTATACTGTGCTTGCATGAATCAAAAATGCTATTTAAAGTTTCTTCTGTGTTTTCTACATATTGTCATATATATAGATTCTTTAACTGTATCGAGTGTGCAACGATATTTCTCCACTCGAGAAAGTTAAGGTTTTATATTTAAAACGCGAGGCTTATCGAGTTCTTTATATGTTTTCGTGATGTCACAATTGAAAGTTTAGTGAAAAGCAAGAAAATTTGACGTCATAATCGAATTTTGACTAATGGTGAACTGAAATAAAATTCACCACACGTTGATTAAAAACAAATATTCAACCATTCTGGATAGGTATAAATCTGGTAAGAATTAAGAGAAATATTTTATTGAAAATGTTATCTTACGTTTAACGTCATAACCTGCTGCCATCAGTCAGTTTACAAAATTTAAATTACAAAAAGCAAATACAATGTGCAAGTAAATGTTTGTTTATTTAGCACACATCTTTCCAATTTGATAGAAATGTCTAATCTCAGCTTAATTAGAGAATTAATTAACTGATAAGAACACGTGAAAATAATCGAAATATTTATTTCTATAGCAACAATAAATGGTATGCGCAAATATTGGCTGACAAAAGGTAGCTGCAAAATTCATTCTCTTATATAGAAAGGAATGGCTATTTGCACATGCCCATTTATAGCGCGAAGAAAAGAACAATTATCAATATTGAATTCTAATCACAATGCATTTGAAGTGAGTATATAGAGGGTAACTTTACAGACAGAATCGATATCATCTTTATTCATTCTACAAATGTTTTCTTGGTTTATTAAAGGTCGAAGGAGCATTTATTAGTGAAGTATAATTTCAGAAAGTGATAGAGCCGCATTTATGGTTTTCATAAAATTAACAAAACAACACAGAAAAATATGTTTAACACTAGTCAATCTTCTTTTGACTTATTATTGTTAATTACATTCTACAAATGTATGTTTGGGTTATATTCTAAACATTGCTTCCAAAAAAATGAAAACAAAATTATATCACTTAAAATTTTATTTTTAAGGTATGCATCAGAAATATTTGTTCAAGTGTATAATGAACACAGCCTCACTATATTAAAAATAAACTATACACAGCGGTTTGTTTGGTAACACATTGACCAGAGTCGTACTGCTCAATCTCTACTTTTCATTGCAGTATTTGTTGTAGACTGTTATTTGGGGTTTTTTCAGTCGTGGTATTGTCCGTCTTTCTTCGTTTAATTTTTCAATTCCCTATTGATGTCTTCCTTGCCTTTTGTAAAGCGTATTCTGCTTTTGCTTTATATGTATAACATGTCATTTGGTGTTGTTAGTACTCTGGTGTTGTTCTTTTAATTTGCGATTTGTTATTCTGTTGTTTCTTTATCTAAGTGAGCAGTTTTTGTCAATAGCTTTTCAGCAATGCCTTAATATATGTAAACATTGGTTTGTTGTTCTGTTTTTTTTTTTATCTCAGTACGCAGTTCTTGTGGATTGTTGTTCTGCAGTTTCTTATATCTGTCATGATTGGTCTGTTGTTCTGCAGTTTCTTATATCTGTCATGATTGGTCTGTTGTTCTACAGTTTCTTATATCTGTCATGATTGGACTGTTGTTCTACAGTTTCTTATATCTGTCGTGATTGGACTGTTGTTCTACAGTTTCTTATATCTGTCATGATTGGTCTGTTGTTCTACAGTTTCTTATATCTGTCATGATTGGTCTGTTGTTCTACAGTTTCTTATATCTGTCATGATTGGTCTGTTTTTCTGCTGTTTCTTATATCTGTCATAATTGGTCTGTTGTTCTACAGTTTCTTATATCTGTCATGATTGGTCTGTTGTTCTACAGTTTCTTATATCTGTCATGATTGGTCTGTTGTTCTACAGTTTCTTATATCTGTCATAATTGGTCTGTTGTTCTACAGTTTCTTATATCTGTCGTGATTGGACTGTTGTTCTACAGTTTCCTATATCTGTCATGATTGGTTTGTTGTTCTGCAGTTTCTTATATCTGTCATGATTGATCTGTTGTTCTACAGTTTCCTATATCTGTCATGATTGGTTTGTTGTTCTGCAGTTTCTTATATCTGTCATGATTGGTCTGTTGTTCTACAGTTTCCTATATCTGTCATGATTGGTCTGTTGTTCTACAGTTTCTTATATCTGTCATGATTGGTCTGTTGTTCTGCTGTTTCTTATATCTGTCATGATTGGTCTGTTGTTCTACAGTTTCTTATATCTGTCATGATTGGTCTGTTTTTCTGCTGTTTCTTATATCTGTCATAATTGGTCTGTTGTTCTACAGTTTCTTATATCTGTCATGATTGGTCTGTTGTTCTACAGTTTCTTATATCTGTCATGATTGGTCTGTTGTTCTGCTGTTTCTTATATCTGTCATGATTGGTCTGTTGTTCTGCTGTTTCTTATATCTGTCATGATTGGTCTGTTGTTCTGCTGTTTCTTATATCTGTCATGATTGGTCTGTTGTTCTGCTGTTTCTTATATCTGTCATGATTGGTCTGTTGTTCTGCTGTTTCTTATATCTGTCATGATTGGTCTGTTGTTCTGCTGTTTCTTATATCTGTCATGATTGGTCTGTTTTTCTGCTGTTTCTTTTCGATTGTTGTACTGCAGTATATAATATGAGAAGTGAAATTAATGAGCTTTGCAAGATATTTTTTTTTCTTCGAGAAGGTTTTATGAATTCTGTTTGATATGCGTACAAACATGTCGGCCAGTAGGGATGCACAATTAGTACACATTGTAATACCAACTGACTTGAAGTATTGATTCACCAAATTCAAAAAATATGTATGCTTTAAAATGCCAGCACTTTGATTATATCATCTTCGGTGTATTTGTTTTTGGAATCAGTGCGGTTCTTCACAAAATCAGATTTTTCATGCCTAAAATCATGAGAAATTTTTACCATTCATTCCTATTTGGTAGAAAACGAAACGCTGTATTCGACTTTTCAATTTAGCAAGGGGGAATAGTAGTGTATAAAGCGTAGAAAAATCAAATTTGATATTACTGCAAAATTGTAAAGAATGTGATTGAAGATTTTGCAGTAGATCTTTAGAAGTTTTAAGAAACCGCATCTGATAACACCGCTGATAGAACAAACATCATCACATATTTCTGTCGGCAACCCTTTTATGTAGACAACAATGGTGGCAAGAACTTAAGAGAGAAGTTTGGTCGAACATCTTGAAGACACCCGACTATATATTATTCTTTTTTTGTGAATTTAAGGTATCCAGTTAAGAAGGGTGTTTTTATTCGTCCTTTTTCATGTTAATACCAAATGAGAGAAGGGTGGATTTATTATTTTCTAAAATGTCTTTCGTGAATGATGTAGGTGTATATGTGGGAATCTCAATTTTGTTGTGCATTCCAAGTTCTTTAGTTAGACATTCCAAATAATGACATAATAGTAAGCAGTTCTTGTCGATTGTTCTTCTGCAGTCTTTATATCTGTCAACGTTGTATATGTGTTCTTTTGTTTTTCTTGTGCTTAATTGTTTTTGCAGAGTCTTTATATCTATCAACATTGGTTTGTTGTTCTATTTGTGTTTTTATTATTTCAGTAAGAAGTTCTTGTCGGTTGTTGTTCTGTAGTGTCTTTATATAACATTGATATGTTGTTCTGTTGTTTTTCTATTACACAGTTTTTGTCGATTGTTGTTTTGTCGAGTCTTTATATATGTCATCATTGGTTTATTGTTCTGTTTGTGTTTTATCTCAGTATGCAGTTCTTGTCGATTGTTGTTTTACGATGTCTTTATGTCTGTCAACATTGGTCTGTTGTTCTGTTGTTTCTTTATCTATTAAACAGTTCATGTCGATTGTTGTTCTTCCGTGTCTTTATATATGTCATCATTGGTTTATTGTTCTGTTTGTTTCTTTATCTATTAAGCAGTTCTTCTCGATTGTTGTTCTGTAGTGTCTTTATATATGTCATCATTGGTATGTTGTTCTGTTGTTTCTTTATCTTTTAAGACAGTTCTTCTCGATTGTTGTTCTGTAGTGTCTTTATATTTGTCATCATTGGTATGTTGTTCTGTTGTTTCTTTATCTATTAAGACAGTTCTTCTCGATTGTTGTTCATCCTTGTCTTTATATCAGTTGGCACTGATATGTTGTTCTGTTGTTTTTCTATTACACAGTTCTTCTCGATTGTTGTTCTGTAGTGTCTTTATATATGTCATCATTAGTATGTTGTTCTGTTGTTTCTATATCTATTAAGACAGTTCTTCTCGATTGTTGTTCTTCCGTGTCTTTATATATGTCATCATTGGTTTATTGTTCTGTTTGTTTCTTTATCTATTAAGACAGTTCTTCTCGATTGTTGTTCTGTAGTGTCTTTATATATGTCATCATTGGTATGTTGTTCTGTTGTTTCTTTATCTATTAAGACAGTTCTTCTCGATTGTTGTTTTTCCGTGTCTTTATATCAGTTGGCATTGATATGTTGTTCTGTTGTTTTTCTATTACACAGTTTTTGTCGATTGTTGCTTTGTCGAGTCTTTATATGTGTCATCATTGGTTTATTGTTCTGTTTTTTTCTCGGTTTTTTTTTGTTGAACATTACACTGCATTCTACCACTTTACCCCGTTGTGTTTTTATTTCAGTATGTTTTTAGAACATTACACTGCATTGTACCACTTTACCCCGTTGTGTTTTTATCTCGGTATGTTCTGTGGAACATTACACAGCATTCTACCACTTTACCCCGTTGTGTTTTTATCTCAGTATGTTTTGTGGAACATTACACTGCATTCTACCACTTTACCCCGTTGTGTTTTTATCTCAGTATGT